CGCTCACCACGTGTAGTCCCTGGGGCAGCGGCGGCAGCGGCACGACAAACCCCACGCCGCCGCCGCCCGGCACGGCGAGCGCCGCCTGCTGCTGCGCGGCCGCCGCCGCGCTGGTGGCGTCCAGCTGGCACAGCTGGCGCACCGGCTGCGCCTGCGTGGGCAGCGTGGCGGCCGACTGGCCCACCCGCACGCCGTCCACATACACCGTCACCGCCAGGTCAGCGGCCAGGCTGCCCCTGACGCACGCCCAGCCGTGCACCCTTCCCGCCTCAACAGAGTTGACCTGCCCCAGCAGGCGGCCCTCAGGGTCCACGCCCAGCGGCAGAGGGTCCTCCTCAAGGCGAGGCCCTGCCAGCTCAGCGGCCTCGCTGCCCAGCGGGTGCTGGCTGCGCACAGAATAGAACAGCAGCGGCTGCCCCTCCTCGCCCTCGCCGCCGCCGCCGCCGGCCGGCAGCGCCGGGTTGCTGCCCTCGGCGCCCGCGGGCGACGAGTCGGAGAGCCTGGCCGCCGCCGCCGCCGCCGCCGCCTGCGCCGCCAGCGCCTGCGTCGCCGCCAGCTCCGCGCGCTGCGGCAGGGCAGGGCGGCCGTCGCCCCTCAGCTTGCCTGGCCTCGCCCCCGGCATGGATGCAGCATGCACACATGCAGCAGGTGGCGTGGCGTGCACACGCCAGCGACACACTCCCGCGAGCGGCGTCTTGCTGGCACGCCACCTCTCCCGCGGCGGCAGCGGCGGCGCAGCTCACCAGGTGCACTACATCTCTACTGCTGACCCATAATCTGCAGCGGGTGGGGGGCATGTGGATGGACAGGCGGGCGGGCAGGTAGGCACGCGCAGAAAGACAGCGCGCAGGTGCGCGAGCAGGCAGGACGGCGGTCCCTGCCGCCGCCGGGAAGGGCTGACACAAGGCCGGCCCCCTGGCCGTCAGATGCGGGCGTGTTGCAATGCTGCCGCGCCGCACCTGGACGCGATGAATAGCGTCGCCGCGCACGCGATGAGCAAGCTGCCCAGGCTGCTCGAAGAGCCGCCGGGCTTGCTGGGGGACCTCATGCAGCCTCCTCAGCGTCCCCTAGCCCCAGCATAACCAAACAGCAGTCGCGCCGCGCCGCAGCTGAGCGATCTAATTCAAGACCTGGACGCGGACGGCTTGCGGCGCAAGTTGCACGCTCTGAGAGCTGGGATGTACTGCTGGCGCAACAGGAAAATGGTAGAGCGGCAATGAGCACACAGACGCCGATGCAAAAAGCATGAGGGGCGGGGCCAGGCTGGCGGCTGCCACGCGGGCGAAAGAGCGCGCTTCCTCACAGCTCCCCGCTGCCACAGCTCCTCACAGCTGGCAAAACCATCCAGCTCATGTCTGTGGGCTCTCATCCCCTTGCCGCAACCGGTCCGCTTGCGCCTGGGCCTGGCTGCCGCCCGCGGCGTCGCCCGCAGCAGGCCCGTCTTGCGGCGCTGCGGCTGCCGCTGGTGGCGGCGCTGCTGCTGCTGCCGGGGCTGTTGCAGCCGCCGCCGCAGGGGGCGGCGGTCCGGCGGGCTGCTCCCGCGGCGGCTGCGGCGGCTGCTGCGGCGGTGCTGCCGCCGCAGCAGCCCACTGCGCTGCCGCCGGCCCTCGCTGCGCCGCAGCCACAAACTGGCGGGCGAGGTTCTGGTTGCGCAGCATCCGCCGGCGCCACAGCACCAGGGCCAGCATGAGCAGCAGCCCGGCCGCCACCTGGGCAAGGGGAAGGGCGGCAGAGCAGTCAGCGCCCATCAGCACAATTTCCCTCTCTCTCTCTCTCTCTCTCACACACACACACGTGCTTCAGACAGGCTTCACAGTCCCAGGCGCAGCCTGCAAGGCCCACCGTGAGGTCCAGGTTGTCGCCCAGCTCAAACAGGTCGTCCAGGGCGTCAAAAAGAAAGTCGGGGGAGAGGGCACCCCGCAGGCGCACCCACACGCCGTGCTTGCCGGGGCTGGCGTGGTGCGGCTGCGCGTGTGCCGACGTGGCGGCGTCCGTGGCGCTGCGCTCTGCGGCGGCAGGCAGGGCGGGGCGGGGCACGGGGGGGCGCAGCGGGGAGTCAGTGGGGCGCAGGGAGGCCGAGGAGTGCTAGCGGCCTTGCTGCCAGGGACCTGCCTTCCTGCCTGCCTGCCTGCACCCGCAGAAGGCCCAGCCACCCCTCCCCTCCCCTGCCCCCCAGCCAGCCATGCCTCGGTCCAGCCCGCCGACCCACCGATGAGGGAGAAGAGGCCGGTGACGGCGGCGGCCCAGCGGGGTGGCACGCGCGGCTCCACCCCCTCCCACCACGTGTGCAGGCGCAGCACCGCCAGCGCCACATGTACCGCCAGGTTGGCTTCGGGCTGCGCCGCCAAGGACCTGCGCCATGGGGGGCAGCAGGGGGGGGCAGCAGGGGGGCAGCAGGGGTCAGCAGGCAAAGGAAGGTCGGGAAGGGATGGGGAGCGGGTGGGGACATGGGCAGACAGGCACTGGTGGCAGGCAACCACGGCGCACAACAGCAAAGAGGCACTAGGGGACAGAGCACAGCCACGCAGCACACAGAACACAGCCACAACAGCCGCACGCCCACCTGTCGTAGAAGCGCTTGGCCAGGTGTGCGTCCTTGGGCAGGCCCGCCCCAAACTGGTGCATGAATCCCAGGTTGAAGAGGGCCTGCGCGTTGTGGTGCTTGCCAGCCTCATTGTACATCTGTACCGCGGGGCAGTGCGGAAGGGGAGGGGAGGGGGCAGGGGTGGGCGTGGTTGCTGCTGCAAGAGGGAGCGCGCGCGCAGGCGGCAGCAGGGGAGCGCCAGACCTGCGAGCAAAGCAAGTGGCGAGGGGCCCGCGGCGGCGCGTGGCTGTGCACGGCAGCCGGCCCCCGCCTCCCGGCCCGCCGCTCGCCCCAGCCGCGCACCTGCCCCGCGCGGCGCCAGTCTCGGCGCACACCCTTGCCATACCAGTAGCCGTCGCCGATGCGCAGCAGGGCGTCGTGGTTGCCCTGCGCCGCCGCGCGCTTGTACAGCAGCAGCGCAGCCAGGCCCGCCTCCGGCCCTGCGGGGACGATCCAGGGAGGGCAGAGGGGAGAGGGGTGGGCGGGCCGCGGCTGACGCAGCCTGCATCCCCGGGCCGTGCCCGCCCCGCAGCCACCCCGCGGCACCCAGCCCCACCCCCCCACCCCACCCCCACTGTCTCCCCGCGGGCTCCCGCCAGGGAGACACCCCCGCTTCCACTGCGCGCTTCCCCGCCGCCGCCCCGCCGCACCCTCGTATCCATATCCCTCTGTTAGCATCCAGGCCGCGTTGCTCTGCCCCAGCTCCTGCCCCATCTCCGCGGCCTTGAGGTAGTTGAGCAGCGCCCACTCGTAGTCGCCGGCCTGGAAGTCGTCATTGGCCTCCTGCTGGGGCCAGGAGGGGGGCGGGGCAGGGCGGGGAAGGGAGGGGAGGAGAGCAGGCAGGTTGGGCCGAGCGTGGCGTGGGTGGAGAGGCAGGGCAGGGGGCCCCAGTGGGGGCCCCGGCGTGCGTGGCTGGGAGCACAGGGGTGCAGCCAGCAGGAGCCGACAGCTGCCGGGCCGGCCCACCAACTGCGCCGTACCCGCCCCCGGCAGCCCCGCCAAGCAGGCAGGACGCCCTTGCCCTCAAGCTTCCAGTGTCCCCTCCCAAGGCAGCCGGCCAGGCGCCTGCCCTGCCCTGCCCTGCCCTGCCTGCCACGCGGGCTCGCACCTGCGGCGCGGGGAACCCCTTCTCCGCCACCCGCTTCAGCAGCGCCACGGCGGCCTGGCAGGGGCTCTGCGCGCGCGTGTGGCCGCCCAGGTGCAGCTGGGCCAGGTTGTAGGAGGCCAGCAGGTGGCCCGCCCTGGCCGCCGTGTCCCACATCTGGGCCGCCTTGGCCACGTCGGGCTTAGTGCCCCAGCCGCGCAGGTGCATCAGGCCTGCGGGCGGCGCGCGGGGCGGAGGGTGGATGGATGGGGTGGGGCAGCGCGCGCGACGGCGGGCGACGTCAGCAGCGCTGGGTCCAGCCCTGCTACCCACCTCCAACCTCCACACACACGCACACCTCCACCTCCACCTCCACACGCACGCGGCGCCACCACCTCCGCCTCCACCTCCACACACACACCACACACACCACCACCACACGCCCCCCCCCACACACACACACACACCCACACCCACACACACAACCCCCTCCACAGAAGCACACACCACACACACACACACCACCTCCACACACACACCACACAAACCACCGCCACCCGCCCACCCACCCATGTAAAAGTAGACGTCTCCGCCGCCGGCCCACGCCCCGATGCCCGCCGCCTGGCTGGCGTCGTGCAGGTAGCGCAGCGCCTTGGCGTAGTCGCGCTGCGTGCCGTGCCCCGCCATGTGCATGTACCCCAGCCCAAAGTAGCCGGCCGCGTGGCCTGCGACGGTTGCGGGGAGGGGAGGGGCAGGGGGCAGCGGCAGCAGGGTGAGACGGAGGCAGGAGCAGGAGCAGGAGACAGACGGAAGCGGCGGATTGAGACAGCAGCGGCAGCAGCGGCAATGGCGGCGGCGGCTCCGCCCGTGGCCTCCCACGCATGCGCACGCCCCGCAGGCGCGGCCCACGCCAGGGGGCGCCGCTCCCGCTGCGCGGCACCCCAGCCCAGCATTCCCCCCCCCCCCCATCACACACCTCGGTCTGCCGCCTTCCAAAACCACGACATGGCGGTACCGTTGTCCCGCTCCACCCCCGCCCCGTTGGCATAGATGTGGCCCAGGTGCGCCATGGCGTCGGCGTCGCCGCCGGCAGCAGCCTGCAGGCACGCACACGCACACACACGTACAGACGGGGCAGGCGCGGATGGGTTGGGCTGCGCTGGGCTGGGCTAGGCTGGCAGCTGATGTACAGGCAGGCAGGCAGGCGGGCCGCACCCAGCGCAGAGGCCCCTGGTGGGGACAGGTTCCACCCCCACCCCCACCACACACACACGAAAGCCTGTACCGCAAGCTTGCTCTTGCTGGCACGTGGACTGTAAACCCTCTCGTAAGCAAGCAGCTCCCTCCCCTGCCCTGCCACCCCACCCCACCCCACCCCAGCCACCTGGCGCAGGTAGCGGATGGCCAGCTCATAGTCGCGCGCCGCGCCGTGGCTCAGCATGTGCGCCGCCGCCCGTGCCGCATCCAGGTTGCCAAAGTCGGCAAACCACTGGTAGTGCAGCACCTGCGGGCAGGGGGGGCGCATGGCGTGGGGGCGGAGAGAGAAAGCGGCGGCTGGTGTGGAGGAGCGGCAAGGTGGACGTTGCAGCGTGGGCAGGGGCAGGGGCAGGGGCAGGCCGGGGAGGTGTGGCCCCCAGCCGCCCGCTGCCGCGCGTCCCCGCGTCCCCGCGTCCCCGCCTCCCCGCCAGCCAGCCAGGCGTGCGGCGCACCTCCTGCTCGGAGCTGGGCCTCCATGTGTGCGCCGTCTTGTAGCTCAGGCGCAGCGACTTGATCTGCGGCAGGCCATCCCGAACCTGCGCCATGCCCAGCACCTTTTCCGCCACGGGCGCATAGAACAGGGCGGCTGCACGGGTGGCAGTGGCGGTGCGGGCGCGGCGGGGAAGGGGTGGCGGGGTGAGGGGAGCAGCGCAGGGGGGAGCGGCAGCAGGCCAGCAGGCCGGGGCGGGCCGGGCAGGGGGATGGCATCCAGCCAGGCGGGGGCGCGGGCAGCGGAAGAGGCAGCAGAGCACAGCGCCGAGGCAGCAAGCGATGCTGGCCCCTCGGGCCCTCTGCACACTTGCACACTAATCGTTGGCCCCCGGCCCCGCCCAGCCCCGCCCCACTCCACCCCCACACTCCACCTCCGCCTCCGCCCACCCGTCTGGCAGCTGCGCGGCACGTCGATGCCCAGCAGGTGGCGGTAGCCCAGGCTCATCTGCGCCACAGGGTCGCCCGCGTGCGCTGCCAGCGTGTAGTGCACCAGGGCGGCGGGCACGTCGGGAGGCACCAGCCTGCGGGGCGGGGCCGGCGGACGAGGCGGCGGGAAGCTGAGAGGGAGGCGGGCGCGGGGGCGGGCCTGTACGCCTGCCTCCGCATACCATGCTCCAGGCTACGGCGCGGCTGCTCTTCTGCCCCGCCGTCGCCCCAGGCGCTGCTGCTCTTCTGCCCCGCCGCCGCACCGGGCCTGCGCCTGCCACACCTGAACAGCTGGTCGCGGCTGTTGGGCGCCACCGGCTCCACCCCCAGCGCCAGGTGGAAGCCCACGTCCGCCTGCGCCTCAGCGTTGCCCAGCTCCGCCAGCAGCAGCAGCAGGCGGTGGGCGATGGCGGGGTTCACGGGCACGCCGTCGCCTGTCGTGGGGTGGGCGGTGTGCGGGAGGCACAAGGGGAGGGCAGCCGCGGCGCGTGGGTGAGCAGACGGCAACGTGGAGCCACACCTAAACAGGCCCACCAGGCGCCGAAAGCATGCACTGACAGCCTGCCCCATGCGTGCCCCGACCGCCCCTCGGCACCTTGCGCCTCGGCCCCTCCACCACCTCCGCCACCGCCTCCTCCTCCCCACCCGCACCTTCCCGGTACACATACACCAGCTCCTTGAGGGCCCCCTGGTGCGGCAGCGTGTCGTTGCGCAGCACCAGGCGCACCGAGGCGGCTGTGAGGTAGTCAGGCTGGGCGGCGGCGGGCGCGCTGGCGTTGACGCGCTCCACGCTGAGGTGCTGGATGCCGGCCGCGGCGTACAGCAGCTTCACCGCCTGCTTCAGCTCCTGCTGCGTCACGTCCTGCGTGTCCCTGTGGCAGCACGGCGGCGGCAAGGCGGAGGCGGTGGGTAGCCGGGAGCGGCCGCGACACCGGAGGCGTGGCGTGGCGGAGCGCAGAGCGGCGGAGGAGCGCAGGCCGAGCGCTGGCAGGCAGGCAGGCGGGCACACCGTATCTCCACAGCCCGCTGGTACTGCTCCTCTGCCAGCGACTGCGAGGAGGGCAGCTGGCCGGGGCCGGCCTCTGCCGCGTGAGGCGGCGGCGTGGCCGGCACCTGGGCGCCGGGAGGCAGCCCGTCAGCCGCCGCCCCGCCTGCTGCGCAGCACACCGCCACCACCGCCACCCAGGCTGCCACCGCCTTGCGCTGCGGGCGCAGGAGGGCAGAAGGCGAGGCGCAGGGCTTGAAGGCACACCGGCCAAATGTGGGCAACGGAGAGCATTCTGGGTATCGGCAAGTTGAGCAGCGGCCGCCAGCGGCCCCACCTGCATCATCGCGCTCGTTGCTGCGGGCCCCAGGCCCTAAAGTGGTGCTGTGACCAGGTGCCGCGATCAGCACCACATGTGCTCGAACAGGCGTGCTCACACACCCTTCAGACTGTTAGAGCTGGGGGGACGAGGGCGATGAGCAGCGCGAGCGGGGGTGGTTGTGCAGCGGCGGCATCTGTACCTCGACGTCTCGCGGCTGTAGCGCCAGGGTTGGCGGCCGCTGGTGGTGCCTGGCCTGGCACGTCCCTGGCCTTGCTTGGCAAATGCTTGGCAAATGGAGTCTGTAATATTCGACAATCATCGTATAAATGAGCTGTGGGGCAGTCCACGATGATCAGGCAGCTGTGGTGAAGCATCACATTGGCGGCGGAGCGGCACGTTCAGGTCAGACATGTCACCTCACTGTGTGCCATGATTCGATCCCCTGTGACTGTCCTTCTACTGGTGCGCAAAGTACGATACCTTGTAATAGGTAAACAGCGACGGGCGGGCGGCACCGTCAAGCGTGATATGAGGTGGCAAGAGAGGCATTTACGCCGAGGCAATGTTTGCTGTTCGTGAGGAGACAGTGCAGCTGGTGGGTAATCTGCCAATCGATCAATATGCACGACACGACACTCAGAGCACCCTGCTCTGCGCAAATCTGCACCGTGGCTGTGACGGCGGGCGGCGGTGTGGTGGAGTCGAGACGGCAACAGTACGCTTCAAGTGCTTGCCACCAATTGCCCGCGCTGCCTGATTGCCCTGCCAGTCTCAGGTCTGTTGCCAACAAGGCCCAAGCGCCCCGCCACCTCCAACGCTGACCGCCACTCTGCCGAGGTTCAAGGTGGACTAGGAGAGGGCCTCTGTCACACCCACATGTGCCTGGGATGTGATCGCAAAGCGGTATAACGGTCCCGATGGCCGTTTTCCGCGAGTTTCCCGCTGAAGAAAGGCCCTGATCGCGGCTGAAGTGCTGCAGGGGCCCTGCCTGGCCTGCAGCGGCCCTCTTATCGTGCGCCTTGTAGCTCGCGGTCGTGGCCGGCTCTACCAGCTTGTTCGGGTGCTGTCGGTGTGCAGGGGACCCGGTGTCATCCCACCAGACTCCTGCTCGCCCGCTTGCCGCAACCCCAACTTGGCGCCGCTGCAGCCCAATTACAGCATGCTGAGGCAGGCGGCGCGCAGCCTCTGGCGCACCGGCGCCAGCCGCAGCATATGCAGCAGCAGCGCGGTGCTGCAGGAAGCCACAGAGCAGAGCAAGGAGGTGAGGAGGCGGGAGAGCGGACGGCAGGTCGCGATGCCTGCGAGATGGGGCGGCGGCGGGCGGGGGTCGGGGTGGGTCGACGGCACCAGCCCTACGTGGTGCCCCTCGCCAGGGCGTGGCGTGGCAGCAAGAAGGCGTGCGTATCGGCCCCGCCGAGCCTCCCTCCCCATCCCCGGCTGGTGCAGGAGTTCCTCAAGCGCTTTGCGCCGTACGCGGGCATGCTCAACCCTCCCGAGTTCCCCTCCAACTACCTGCCCAAGAAGGAGGCGGCGGCAGAGGGGGCGGCCATCCCAGACAAGCTGCACTTCAACTTCTTCGTGCCCCACGAGACGCTGTGCCAGAGCGAGAAGGTGGACCTAGTGCTGATGCCGGCCACCACCGGAGACTTTGGCGTCATGCCCGGCCATGTGCCCACCGTAGCGCAGCTCAGGTGCGCGGCCGGGGGCCGTGTGTTGGGAGGCGGCAGCGTGCAGGGGAGGCGCACTCGTCACAATCCCCACCTGCAGCTCTTGGCAGCATGCGTCGAGGCATGCCTGATCCGCCGCCATCGCCGCCTCCTGCCCGCCACCCGCCGCCTGCCCTGGGGCCCCATGCCGCCGCTCCCCTGCTCCCACCATGCCCCTGCACCCTGCCGTGTCGCGCTGCCGCAGGCCCGGCGTGGTGACTGTGCACAAGGAGCTGGACAAGGTGGTGGAGAAGTACTTTGTGAGCGGCGGCTTTGCCTTTGTGCACCCCGACTCCTCCGCCGACATCTGCGCGGTGGAGGCGGTCAAGGTATCAGACCTGGATGCCGACGCAGTGCGCGCGGGGCTGCAGGTGCGCCTGCTGCAGGGGCCGGGGAAGGAAGGGAGGGTGGAATGGGCTTGCGCCGTGGCGTTCATGCGAGTCTCGTGCGCGTCTGGGCTGCTCTACTTGCGTGCGCTTGCCGCAGCGGTGGTGGCCGTTTGGCAAGCACTGCTGACCGGCGCTGCCGCATGGCCTGGTGCTCACTGCCTGCAGGAGTACACCAACAAGCTGGCAGCGGTGGTGGGCAAGGGCGACGAGTATGAGGCGGCGGCCGCGCAGGTGGGCCCGCAGCGCAGCAGCAGCAGGGGCAGGGGCTCGGGCAGGGGCGGGATGAGCCATGGCATGGCAAGGCAGGTTGATGGCCATGTCGCCGCTGCCTCCCAGCCAGCCCTGGCGTGTTTGCTGCCCGCCTGGTGCAGGTGGGCGTCGAGGTCTACTCAGCAATGAACGCTGCCATCGGCCCATGAACCCCTCCATCCCTCACTGAAGGCAGCGCGGGTTGCACCCATGCCCAGCCGCTGCTCGCCTCGTTCCTGCTGGGGCCGCGTGGCGAGGCGCGGTATCGAGCGGCCCTGAGGGCTGCCGCCGTGCTCGCTGCTGGGCCACCAAACCCGCTGCCACTGCCCCACCCACTGCTCCTTGTGCTCCTGCTCACCAGTAGGTCGGTCCCCCTTTTTTGTGAGCAATGTTGTTGATACTGTCCTTCTCTCAGCAAACCGTCAACATCCGGTGTGTGACCCTCAGTGCACCTTGCTCCTCATAGCTCAGCAGGCGGAGGGTGGCAGAGATCCGGGGCATGGCATCCGTGTGGTGCACACATCTGGGATTGGCACGAGATGCTTCAGCAGAGGCAAGTATCTCCCAGAGCCTCAATCACCGCATGAGTGGTTCCGCTGATGAGCAGGGATGCCCAGCCGAACCGCCGGGCGGCGGCAGTGGGTGCCACGGAGGAGTCGCATCATTTCCCCGGTTATTATAATTGCACACCAGGAACTCCATAACTCCGGCTGGCTCTTGAACGGGGCTGTTCTCGCACACGAGCGGCGGCATCATGGGGCGGGGAAGCAGCAGAAGCAGGAGTAGGAGTCGAAGCCGAGACAGGCACAGGCACGTGATGACAGCGCCGCGCGTGGAGACGCGGTCGCCGCACCCTTGCGCCCTCCACTGCTGCGCCGCCGCTGCAACGCCGCCAACCCTTGCTGCCGCCACATGTCGCTCCCTGCAGAGATAGGCGGCGGAGATCCTACAGCAGGGACAGGGCACGCTCGCGATCACGGGGTCGCTCCGAGTCCCCGTCCCCGCGTGCAGCCAAAAAGTCGCGGCAGCGGTGAGTGCAGCTGCAGCAGGTGTGGGCCAGGGGCTGGGCTTGATGCAGGCGCCGCCGCTGACTGCCAGCTGTGCATGCTGCTGGATGCAGTCACTATCGGAAACACCGGCCAGAGCAGGCGGATGAGCTGAAGCAGAACAACAGGTACGTGCTTGCTGGCAAGAGGGAGGGCCAGCGTGCTGTTGGCTCCGCGCCCACAGGCGGCCCGAACGCCCTCTGTCCATCCGGCACCCCCCTGCCCTCGCACACTCTGCCCCATTCCTGCCTGCAGGCAGCGTGAGCTGGAGCTGGAGGCTGCGGAGGAGGAGGCGCTCGCGCAGCGGGTGGAGGTGGTGGTGCAGGCGCGCGTGGCAGCGGCTGTGGGCGGCGAGGAGGTGCTGGCGCGTGTGGCGGCGCGGCTCAAGGAGGAGCGCGCCAAGCTGGAGGAGCGGGTGACTCGCCAGCTGGACATGGAGCGCAAGATGCTGCTGGAGAGGAAGCGGCGGGAGGATGCGGAGCGGCGGCAGGCGCAGGAACAGATGGAGCGCATCATTGAGGAGAACAAGCGCAAGGTGGGTGACGTGTAGCGGGGTGCTGGGGTGAGGTGGGAGGGGCAGAGGGTGGAAGGCCTTGGGAGACGTGGAGGCTGCGGCAATGTGAGCGCGGTGCAGCGCTGTGCACAGAGGCGCCCCCAGCGCTGGACGTGCCTGCAGGTGGAGGAGGCGCAGCGCAGGGCGGCAGAGGCGGTGGCGGAGCAGCAGGGGCTGCCCAAGCCCGCGGCTGTGCCCGTACGGCGGAAGCAGGTGGGTGCTGCGCGGTATGCAGGAAATTGCTACGCTCTCCCTGTGTGTTGCCCCCAAAATATTTCACCTTTGCACAATATGTTTCGACCGCTGTCTCTCCCTCTCGCCTGCAGGGCCTCATCATTGTGGACGACTGAGCTCCCGAAGGCAACACTGGCGGCGCACGTGGCGCTGTTGGGTGCTGGGAATGCCCCAATCCATTGGCACCATGCATTGCACGTGTAACGCGAAGCCTGAGCTACAGCTCCGTTAGCCAGAATCTCTCCAATCAGGTCTCAACGAGGAGCGATGGGCGCCGGCGCCCAGGAGTCAGCGTGCACAGCGGGGAGCGGCGCTATTTTTGGGAGGGCCCCGCTGGGCCTCATTGAGCGCCCGCATTGTTTTTGTGAGCCTGAAGTATATCTGTGCGTTCTACACAGCTCCTAACACCGCCAGGAGGCACGCCGACAAGCCCGAGACAGAGGCGGTGGTTGTGGGCGCAACCGGGCGCCGGGAGCGCGGCTCCTATCCGAGCTACAGGGTAAGTAGAGGCCGTGACGCTGCCCGCGGCCGCGTATCGAGCCTTCAACCAGTCCGCCATTTTGCGATGGGGGTGGCCAATTCCCCGAAGCCTGGGCCGCTCCCGGCTCCAGCACGAGGGACCTATTTGAGGGGCATTGATGCTTGTGTTGCTGGCCGCTGGAGCCGCTAGGACCCCGCCAACCACCTCCCAGCGGCGGCGCTTGCCGCTGCTTGGAGCTGTTCGTAGCGCAATCAAGCAGCTGCTGTGGCTGGCGGGCTGCTAAAGACGCGGTGTCATATCAGGGCGTAGAATTCGACCGTCAGGATCAGCACCCACTATCTTTGCCCTGCTCCGCCGCTCTCCCCGCAGGCGCCGCAGCGCCGCGCACCATGGCGGGCGACGACCTGCCGGTGCTGCCCAGCAACTTCTTCAACGACCCCTCGCTGACGGGGCACTGGAACTTCCAGAATGACTTCCAGGACGTTATGGAGATTGGCAAGGGCAAGGTGCGGCGGCTGCGTGGCGGAGCAGCTCATGGCCTGCCGTTGCTGACAGCGGTCGAGGCAGCGCAGTACAGCCCAGGGAAGCCCATCTCGCTGCTGCCAGCTGCTTGAGGGCCTCCCCCATCACTCATCTGCCACTGCCCGCCGCTCCCCCTGCTCCCCCTGCAGGACACGGTCATCTACAGCGCGGTGTGCCCCAAGCTGGGCAGCCGGCGGCTGGCGGTCAAGGTGTACGACAAGACCAAGGTGCAGGCCACCAAGTACCGCGCCATCAAGCGGGAGATTGCAATGATGATGTACTTCATGAAGAAGCGGTGAGGGGCAGCAGGGAGGGGGGCCCGCAGCGGGAAGCGCTGGCCTGTCTGGGTTGTGCCGCCCGCAGCGCTGCCCCCACACCGCTCTTCACCCGCCCCGCTCCACGCCTGCAGCCTGCCCACCATCGTGGAGTACTATGGCGCCTTCCACGATGACGCCCACCTGTACATCGTGATGGAGCACTGCGGCGGGGGCGACCTGCTGGAGAAGCTGCTGCGCGACAAGAAGGCGATGAACGAGCGGAAGGTGGCGGTGGAGGTGGCCTACCCCTGCCTGGCAATCCTCAAGAAGATGCACGAGATGCGCATCATCCACAGGTGGGGCGGGGCGCTGTCACAGCAGTGGAGCGACAGATGGGGACAGATAGGCTCGCTTTGCGTACCGCAGCGTGCTGACGTGGCAGCTGCCGGTCACCTGCAGGGACATCAAGCTGGAGAACATCTTCATCGACGACCAAGGCAGGGTGAAGCTGGTGAGGCGAAGGCGCCTGTGGGTGTGTGCAGCCACACGGGGTGGGTCTGTGACAGCCGCCCCGGCGTGCCGCCTGCTGCGCTGTGCAGGGCGACTTTGGGCTGACCATGAGCATGCGGCAGGAGTCGGCCATCTCGCCTGTAGGCACTGTGGAGTACATGGCGCCCGAGGTGGGTGCCGGATGCGGCACACACACTCACCCACCTACCCACCACGCCCCCCGCCAGCCGTGGCAGCCCTGCCTGCACGCCACAGCGATTCTCACCTGAGGCAGTGCCCTCTGCTCCCGGTGCCCCCCGGCAGGTGGTGGCTCTGCCCCCTGTGGACCTGGTGATCAGCGGGCAGATCAAGGCCACCGACATTGCGCCCACCAACGAGAAGGTGGATGTGTGGGCGCTGGGAGTCACCATCTTTGAGCTGGTCACAGGTGGGTATGGTGGGCGGAGCCAGAGGCGCCGCGGCTGCTGTGAGGTCTGGCCTCGTGGCATAGCTGTGGGCCGCTGGAGACGCGCTGCCTGCCCAGCCATGAGGGCCTCTGTGCCCGCCCACCTCCCCGCTCTTCCCTTGCCCCTGCCTGCCTCCCTGCCGCAGGGCGGCTGCCGTTTGAGGGCAAGGACAAGCCCGAGATCAAGCGCAACATCACCGCCAACAACCTGGCCGCACTGCCCTCCTTCCTCACCCCCCAGTGCCAGTCCTTCATCCGTGCCATGCTGACCTACGCGGTGGACGAGCGGCCGTCGTGCGCGGAGCTGCTGCACCACCCCTACATCGCCATGTACTGCACAGCGCCGCCCCCCAAGCCCGCAGCCCTGCCCAACGTCATCGCGCTGCACGCCTACAGCCCCGGAGTTGGTGAGCTGCGGGGCGCGGGGTGCGGGAGCTGGGATGGGATGTATGTCAGGGCCCGCTGCTGCTGTGCACCCCCACCGCACCCCGAGGAATCCACCACCGGCTGCATGCACTGCACTGCATTGCAGCCCACACTGTTGTGGGGGCTGCAGACCGGGGGGGGACGCCGGCGGCGGAGGATGGCAGCCGCAGCGCCCGCGGCGCCGCCGACTCCGGACGCAGCAGGAGCGGCGCGAGCAGGGACGGTGGAGGCGGCCACCCTGCCTCCGCCACCCCTCGCAACAGCCGGGCAGACCTCTCGTATCGTGATGCCCTGGCAGGTGGCGCTGGCCGCGCGCCCGGGCTCGAAGACATGCGCTCGCCCCGCACCCCAGGCGGCTCCCACGTCCCCGTCACCGTCTCCCGCAACGCCGCCGCCACCAGCGGGCACCACAGCCCCACCATCCTGGCGCAGACGGGCTACACATCGCGGCAGGACCCCTTCACCTCGCCGCTGCAGCCCCAGGACCAGGCGGGGGGGACCGCTGCGTCCGCAGGCCCCGTGCCCCGCAAGATCAGCTTTTTCAGCAGCAGCCCCAAGCCCGGTGCCCCAAGGAACGCAACCAGCGAGCAGGCCAAGGTGAGAAGGGCTGCTGGTGCTGCCGGTGCCGTTGCTGTTGCTGCTGCTGCACATGGAGGCTGGCCTTGAGCAGCGGTAGACCACCGGGTAGGCAGGGTTGAGTGAGGCTGCTCTGCAAAGCTGCCGCTTGCTGCCATCTCATTCACTGTGGGTGCCCCCGAGGAATCAAGCACTGCTTGCATGGCAGCCTGTTCTTGCCTGTGCGGCACGTGGGGCACCCCTGCCTGGCGGGGTGCCCCCTGTGCTGCTGACAGGCACCCTGGTCACTGCCGGCAATCGCTGGGTGAAGCACAGGGAGGCGCGGGAGCGGGAGGAGAGCGGGGCGGGCTGGTCCATCACAGCTCTGATGTCCAAGCTGGCCAGCCCCGGCAGTCAGCGGAGGGCAGCGCACTGAGGTCGTCGTCGGAGCGCAAGCGCGGCGCCAGCATCGGCGTGGTGGGTGCTGCCTGCGCTGTGCAGCAGGGAGCCTGCAGCAGCAGAGTGCCTGCAAGCTGCGACGCCGTGCAGTGCTGCATGGCTGCTTCCCATAACCCTGCTGCCTGCCTGCCTGCCTGCCTGCCTGCCTGCCTGGCGCAGGGCATGAAGTCGGCGCTGCGCAAGCTGTTCACGCGGCGGGGCACGCACCAGCGTCTGGAGGATGCTGACGCCCAGGACACCATGCAGGCCAGCTTCACCGGCTGATGTGGGGACTCGTGACGGGGATAGCTGAAGCCTTTTGCTACGTTTGCTGCCAGCGCTGCCGCTCCTGTTCATGTTACCGCCCCAGTATTCCCTTCCTCTATATGCCGCCGCCTGCCCCGCTCCGGCACTTTTGGCATCTTTCACAACCCCTTGTACTGTTTAGCTGCGTTGTTCCTGCCTGCTTGGGCCAGATGTAAATGAGTGAACCTGGCTTGCAGTGATGACCAGCCCCCATATGGCCCTTGCGCCCCGAACGAATCGACAGTACCACCTGACCCCAAATCTTCTTCCCGGAGCCCAAGCGGGCTTTTAGCTGTTTTCACGCTCACAAGCAGAACCACCTCAGCTTGACGTCGCTTCAATCCCCCTGGTGAGTCGCCGCCTGTTGCCCTCGCCTGTTTCGGCGCCATGAGCTGCACAGAGCTCTCGGACAGCGCTGCCGCTGCATGGCCGGCTTGTTCACGGCGACACCTTCTGCTGGCCAGCAGGGGTTGGGCTGTGTCCTGCAGTAGCCTGGCATGCGCAGAACCATCCATGCCGCGCCCCGTCTCCCTGCCCGCAGGCTGTCACATACACACACCCAGAACCCAGGATGCGTGTCCTGGTCGCAGCGCTGCTGCTGCTGCTGGCCTGCGCCGCAGGTGGGTCGGCCTGGCGCTGGGGCCCCGCTGCCGCTGCGCGGCGCTGCCCGCATATGCATGCGCATTCTTGCATAGCGCAGCAGGCCGGCCGGCCGGCCGGCCCGGGCTGCAAAAAACTGCACTGCTGGCTGGAGGCCACCCGCACAGGCCGCTCGCCGCCATGGTACATAAAACATGCTGCCGTCTCCACTGCCCCCGTCTGCCCCCGCTACCCTGCCCCTGCCTGCAGGTTCCGCCGCTGCCGCGGGATGCATCCCGGGCAAGGGCTGGTGCGCCTTCTGCAACTTGGACCTCACCCGGTGCGGGAAGTGCATCAACGGTTTCTCGCCCAACTCTGCTGGAGCGTGCCGGAAGGTAAGCTAGGCAGGGGGGCCGAGCGGGGCGGGCGGGGGCCCCATTGGACGGCCGCCCCGGCTGAGCTGCGCTCGTCGGGTGCGCTGGGCTGTGTCTAACGCTGGCTGGGCTGGGCGGGCCAGCTTTCTAGCTGCATTGCGCGTCACGACACTCAACTGGATTAGTTTGCCCGCCCGCCTGCCGCCGTGCAGTGCACGCCCCACTGCATCACCTGCCGGCACAGCCACCTAGCATCGACGTGCCTCCAGTGTGCCGACGGATACACGATTGTGAAGGGCAAGTGCGTGGCTTGCAAGGTGAGGGCGGGCGCGCTTGCATGGGGCCCGGGCCGCCGCCGCTCCCGCTTGCCTGCCCCGCACCAGCGAGCCGCCTCCGCGCTCAGCAGGCTGCTGGCATTCCGCCCCTGCAGGACAAGCACTGCGTCACATGCCGGTCGGGCCCCAAGAAATGCGACTGGTGCGGCCTGGTGAGTGGCTCGGGCGGGCAGCGCCGCCGCCTGCCCTGCACCTGCTGAACCCGCCCCAATGGTAGGAGCGGCGTCTTCGCGACGAAAACCTTGACAGCAGCACACAGGCACGCAGACACACACGCGCACACGCACACACACACATACTCTCTCTTTTCTCCCCCGCGCCACCATGCGCAGACCGGGTACCGTTTTGACAACAAGACCGGCGGCTGCAAGCCGTGCACCACCAAGAACTGCGCGGGGTGTGTGCTGGCGCAGAAGGCCAAGAAGCCGTTTGAGATCTGCTTCGCGTGCAAGGTGGGGCAGGCAGCAGAGGCAGGCGTGCAGGCATGGGGGTGTGAGGCAAGCGGGTAGCCACGTCAGCCTGCACGCAGCGTGCTCAGCAGGCTGCCAGGGAGGCAGCTGTTGCAAGCGAGCAGTACACACATGGGACCCTTGCTGCAGTACGGTTACCAGGCGGTGTGGTACAAGAGCGCCAGCGCCAACTGCGTCACACCCTGCAAGGTGCGCCGGGTGGTGGGCAGCGCAGGGTGGGTTGTGGAGCTGCCGCAGCCGCTGGCTGCTGGCTGCAGCAACTGCACAGGGCTTGCTTGGTGGATCGACGGGTCGCCTGCACGCTGGCTGGATCAGGCAACCATGCGCCCGCTGCCGCAGATCAAGAACTGCGCCGCAGGCAGGTGCTACAGCGACCATGGCTGCGAAGTGTGCCGGGATGGTGAGGCATGCGCCTGGGGCTGTGCCCAGCTGCGCCCGCCAGCCAGCTGTGCCGGTGACGCGCCCACACAGCGCCGTCCTGTCAGTGCCGTTCTTGCAGGCCGCCCCTATTGCAATGCAACTCGCCCTCCCTCTTCCCTCCGTCACACAGGCTACTACCAAACGCTCACCGGGACGTGCAAGAGGTGTCTCGTGCCCCACTGCCAGACCTGCGCCTCGCCAGATACCTGCCAGGTGGGCGACCCTGCTCGCATCGCCACCTTGCTGCTGTTAGGGAGGCTGCTGGCGCAGCCATCTGGCAGCCGCTGCACTCTGCCACCGCTTCTCAGCCGCCTCCCGCCTGCCAACACATGCCCACCCTCCTGCCGCCTGCTGCAGGAGTGCGCGCCGGGGTACATCTTTGGGTCGGGGCGCAGGGCCGGAACGTGCATCAAGGTGACAGGGCCTGGCCACTTTGTGCCGGGGCCGCAGGCCACCGACCGCGCCGTCATCATCCACGACATGGAAGCCGCCGCCGCCGCCGCCGCTAGCGTGGTGGAGGGCGTGTGAACGCCGACCGCGTGTTCGGCTGTGGGCAGCCGTCGATGGCGGCACGCCCGAGCAAAGAGGGCAGCTCATTTGGGGGAGTGAACGGGGTTTCAAATGCGTCGCCGCCAGGCATTCAGTCCCGGCCTGCTTCGGGGGCTACTGGGCTTGCTGCTGATGCCGCCGATGTGCGCTGAGCGCCCATATGCCAAAACATATTGTCCATCCTCCCATGGTAGTAGCTGAGACCGTGATCCAGTTGAATGTTTCGAATGAATGGTGCACAACTGTAAAATAAAGGCTGCACAATCACGGTGACTGGGCGGTGGGCTGACCTGGCGGTGGCGCCGGCGGCAGCCAACCCAATGTTTTGTGACTCTGTTTGCGCCCAACAGCAGAGAGAATGGAGATGGCCAGGCCCTGCGCACCACCCGTAAGTACTGGCCGGCAGGCTCTTAGTTGAGTGCCACCTCCTGAGGGTGTGCTTACAGCCATGTAATCTTACAGAGACGCCATGTGCTTGGGTGGGCCCAACTCCGCCGCTTGATCCAAGGTGCAGGCACAGGCGATGAGTGAGGCAGGCCCTGCTTCATCTGGAGGCGGTAGCAGCAGCAGTGGGAGCGCCGCACCAGCACCGCCATGGGCCTCCGGTTGCCACGCCGTCAGTGGCGGCGGTAGGCAGGCGCTCCGCCCGGCGCTCGCTCCCCAAGCGCAGGTGCAGGGCAGCTTGGAGCGCACAAGGTTAGCCGCAGTGCCCTTCAGCCCTGACCTATCGCCCCCCGCCCCTCTGCCCTGCAGTGCCCTGCATTTGCCCAAGCAGGCGCCTGCGGCAGAGGCGACCGCTGCAGGCTGGCGCATGGACCGCGGGAGGCGGAGCGCATGAGGAAGATGAGTGGGCACGGCAGCGGCAGCGCGGGCAGGGAGACCCCCTTTTCTCGCCAGGTCGGCGGCGCTGCTTGCGCGGGACGCTGACCTCCCACATGCCTGCCCCGCATCACGCCGCAGCCCTTTGAAGCAGAGCGCCGCACGCTGCCTGCAGGCCGCTGGCCTGAGCGCCGCCGCGGGCCCCGGCACGCCAGCCCAGCATGCGGCGCTGCCGCTACCGCCACAGCCCAGCTATGAGGCCATCGGCTATCCCGACCCGCCGCTGCCGCCGCCGCCGCACCGCGAAGAGCCTTATTTCTACAAGACCCAGCTCTGCCGCTACCACAGCTCGCCGTTTGGCTGCAAGTACCGCTCCAGGTGTGGCCCTGCTGCACAGCATACCACACCCCACAGTATCGCAGTCGGCTCTGCTTCCCGCGCAGCCTGGTTCCCTTCACTTCTCAGGGCAGGACCCTGCCACACGTTCTGCAGATGCACCTTTGCCCACGGCCACCACGAGCTGCGCCACAGCCGCTTCACAGGCACCGTGCCTGGTCCCCACGCTGCCGGCGGCAGCCAGCAGCCGCAGCCTCAGCAGGCGGCAACGTGGCATGGCCCCAGGCCCGCTGCTGGGCCATGGCAGGCAGCTGCGCCGCAGGAGGTCAACCCTGCTGAGGTGGCGGCGCTGCTGCAAGGCACGGCCTACCCAGCGCCGGCAGGCCGCGGTGCAGCGGCTGAGCGCGCGCCGGCTGTCAACACGCTGGGAGCTGGCGCTCAGTCGGTGGCAGCCAGCCCGATGCTGCCCACAGAGCTGCCCGCGCCCTGGCTCCTGCACGGGCCCTCCACTGCCGAGGCGGCGGCGCCTGTCGCGGCCAGCGGCGCTCCCCTGGCGCCTCCCGGCGGCAGCCCGAGAGCAGCAGCAGCCCCACCCGACCAAGCAGCGCAGCCTGGCCAGGGGAAGGGGGCGGGCTGTAGCGGCGCCGCCGCTGCGGCAGCAGGGTCTGGGGCCGGCGGGAGCGGCAGCTGCCACGTCAGCAGCACCGAGGCGGTGTGCATACCCGCTGACATCCAGGGTGTGCTGCAGCGCCGCTTCAACAGCCCCATCACGTGCCCCATCACGCTGGAGCCGTTTTCCGACCCCGTGGTGGCGGCGGACGGCAACATCTATGAGAAGCAGGCCATCGAGGAATGGCTGTACAGGTGGGGCAGGGGCGGCTAGCCCTCGGGACTGGTGGATTTCGGGAGCCGCTCACGCCGTCATGCACACTGCGGTCGCGATGGCCTCGCGCTGAGGCTGCTCCACCGGTGACCCGTACCGCCAGCGGCACAAAGTACGGTGTGCAGGTAGCTGGTGAGGCGCGGGGCGTGGGCATGCTGCTGTGCCGCAGGGAGGGCAACGACACCTCGCCGCTCACCAACCAGCCGCTGGCCCACAAGATGCTGATGCCGTGCGGCACCATGCGGTGGTGCATGATGGATGTGGTGCATTTTGTGACCGCCATGCGGCGGCAGGTGCTGTGAATGTGGCGGGGCGGTATGTGGCGGGGCTGCGCGCTGCGTCGTGTTGTTTTTCATCGGCATTCCAGCTTATTTGAGTGACACAAGGGTAGTGCAACAAGGTAGCGCCATGGCGGGAGCGGCACAGACCGACAGCTGGCATTCTGAGTTGCACTGCACGCATCGCCACTCACTCCACCATGGCCTGGTCTGAGGCATCGGCGGTGTCGGTGCGCGCCGCCGCCACCGGCCTCCCCTTGTCCGCCACGCCCTTGCCGCTGCCCACGCCGCCAGCAGCGGCGGAGGGCTCGGGCAGGAAGCTGACGGCCAGCTTGGCTGCTGCGAAGTTCTTGCCCATGATGATAAGATCCTCAGGGCTGAGGGCCTGCACACACGACATGGCGGTGCCAGCCCCGCAGCCCAACCGGCTGAGCAGAGTGATGGCCCCGGGCCTTGTGCTGCCGCGTCACGCCCCGACCTGGCGGGCCTCCTATGCCACACTCACCGCCGCCAGGCGGGGCAGCACCATGCGCTCCTCCTCCACCATGTGTGCGCTCAGGTGGGCCTGCAGGGCCAGGAAGAAAGGCGAGGAGGCTAGCTCAGGGGCCTGCCTGCATTGTTTGACGCCTTCAGCAGCTGCCCCGGCAGCCACGGCAGCCGGACTGCCCTCCCCACTACCTGCAGCCTCTGCACCGCGGCCTCCAGCTGATCCGGGCCTGGCCCAGCGCCAGCAGCGCCAGACGCGGCGGCGGGGCCTCCCAGGGCGCATCCGGCAGAGGCCAGCACTGCCAGGAGGTCAGCCTCCACCTGCGCTGGGGACAGGCAGCAGTGGATCCAGCATAGATGATGACGCACATCCAGCACCACAACGCATGCCCTGGCACACTACTCTGCGCTGCAACCCGTGCGTTCCCAGCTGGCACCGCGGGCCGGCCTCCTCTGCACTACCGGGCCTGCGCGCCGGACCCCTCCCCCACCTGCTGGTTTGCGTCCCGGCACGTCAGCGCCAGCACCGCATTGTCGGTGCTGCCCGCCGCATCCGCCTCCAGGGCTGGATACAGCACATCCAGCTCCGCCTGGGGTGCAAGCAGGGGCAAGGCAAGGCAGCATGGCACCAGGCCTGGTGTTGGGGCGACCCATACCGCTGCCATAGCTCCTGACGCCTTCTTCACAGGGTGTGGCCAGGGCGCCGTCACACCTGCGAGTGAAGGCGGATCTCCTGGAACAGAGCGCTGGCGTGCTGCTGCATCACATGCCCCGCATGAGGCTCCTGCTTGCGCGCCGCCGCCACCTCAAACAGAGCAAACAGGGTGCTGATGTTGCGGTGGTCGCCTGCGGCACGGCAGCAGGGGAGGAGCAGCAGCGGCGCTGAGCGAGGCAGCCTGGGCAGCCTCCCAGAGCCTGCACTGCTCGCCACGGCACTCCAAGGTTCATGGCAGCCCAGGAGAGGCAGTCCAAGGTTAACTGGGTGCGGGAGGCCTGCCCCACTCCGCCGCACTCCGGCCCCCACCAGCTCACACAGGACCAGGTCGATGATGCTGGGCTCAGCAAAGGCCGGGCTGCCCGTGCCGCCAGCATCGCTGGTAGGCAGCTCGGCGGTTTGGTCTGGCGCAGCCATGCCCCCGAGGCCGTGGGGTTCGACTGCTGGGATGGAAGGATTGTTTACATACAAAGATAGATTATAACAGGGCATAGGCAGGGGACAGCTCAGGCTGGAAAGCATGGCGAGGTACGTTGCAACGCGAATGCTTTCCAAGTCAGAGATTTCATGCAAGGAAGATATGGGGCTGCAACTTGTGAAAAATAAACAGGAAAAAGTGCAGCACGGGGACACTCGAGACAAAACTGGGATTGGAAAAAACTGAACCGCTGGGCGAGGAGTTCACGGCAGCGCACGCCGCGGGCCTAGGCACACACCTCTATCGCTCGCAACACCGGCTGCGCCACGGGCTCCGCCGCCACCTCCACCACCTCGGCTGAAGGCTGGCCCCGGGCCTCAGCCCAGCGCAGCACATCGCCCAGGATCTCGCCGCCGTGGAGCCCCACCAGGCTGACGTGGCCCTCGCCCTCCACCAGCCGCAGCTGGCTGCCGGGGATGGCGTCAGCGTAATACTCGGCGTGCAGGGGGGGCACAATCCTGTCGCCGCTGCCATGCCAGATGGCGGTCCTGCGCCACGGGGGCACCGCCGGCGGGCCGCGGGTTGCGCACAGCACACAAGCCTGATCACCGGCCCACACACCTGCTCAGGAGGCCGGCAGGCAGGGGCAGAGGAATGCATGGCAGCCGTGCACCCACCCACCTGGCCTGCACGGCGCCCACATCCACGCCCCAGTCTCCCGCCAGCACGCGATAGTCGCGCAGCACGCCGCGCATGCCGTTCATGTAGGCCCGCTGCAGCCGGCGGCAGCGGCAGGGCGCTGGTTCTGAGGCGGCGCGGCGCAGGGCACTGTGTGCTTGGCAGATACGCAGCAAACGTGCTCAAGGGCCATCAGCCTGCGGCAGGCGGGCTGGCAGCCGCTGCGCCGGTGCCGCCCACCTGCGTGAAGCGCAGCAGCCAGTCCTTGGCGGCGTCGTTGCCGCGCAAAAAGGCGGCGTCGCAGGGGCCCAGCGTGCCGCCCGCGCCCCGCTTCACCATGTTGGGCGTCCTCTGCAAAAGGCCGGCCAGGGGGTGGGTGGGCAGCCAGGTAGGCAGGCGCAGTCGCTGGTGCGCTGGCATGGACACGAGGGCAGGCAGGCCTTCGAGCGGCGGGCCCACCACCAGCAGCTCTCCCGCACCCGGCAGGCACGGGCGCACGCACAAGAGCGGCCAGGCAGGCAGGCAGGCTCACGTTTGCGGCCAGCTTGACCAGGGAGTTGATGACGTGGGAGGCTCCCAGGGCGCGCAGGCTCATGCACCATCGGTCCATGGACGACAGCGAGCGGCGCAGCGGGCGGTGCTGCCTGCCGTGCGTGGCCGCCAGCCCCGCCAGCAGCAGCAGCTGCGCCGTGCGCTCGGGGCGCAGCGCGGCAAAGGCGGCGGCGTACGGCGCGCCGCCCGACTCACCCACCTGCACCGCCGCCGCCAGCTGCAGGTGGTCCAGCAGCGCCGCCGCGTCGGCCACCACCGAGGCCACGCTCATGGCTGGGTCGACGGTGGAGCCGCCCATGCCGGGGCGATCAAAGGCGACCACCGCCACGCCCAGGCCGGCGCCGGCTGCCGCCAGCGGCTCCGCCTCCACCAGGCTGGCGGGCACGCCGTGGTGGTACAGGCACACCAGCTTGGCCTGGGCCAGGGGAGGGCCCATGGCGGCGTACGCCAGGCTGCGGCCGTCGCCCAGCTGCAGGCTGCGCACCTCATACGCGCCGCACAGCTGGGCTGCCGGCGGCAGGCTGCGGACGGTCATGAGCGAGGCGGGGTGGTGTCTTGCAGAGGGGGAGGCTGAGATGCAGGGAAGAGCCTGCAACGGAGAACAGCAGGCGACGTGTTCACATGACGACGGCGGGGGTTGCCAGCTGGCTCGGCGGCGGGACGGGGCGGTGAGCTCAGGCGCCGTGGTCCGTGCCCGGAAGCAGCGCCAGCCGTGCCGCACTCCGACCAGGGTGCAGAAGGGCCGCAACGGGCCCGCAGAACCAGCGCGGCTCGCGTTCTCGTCATTACCTCTGCTCGTTAAGTGCGTGGGAGATGATCAAGGCCGAGGCAGTCGCAAGCGGCCAGGGAAGGAGCCCTTCGTCACTCGAGGCTGAGGGGCCGGTTGATGGTTCTCCCCCTCGTTGCTGGCAGTTTGCTGGCTGCCTCCCAGGCTCGTTGCTGGCTGCCTCCCTGGGCTGACGAGGAGAGGCTCATTGCCGGCATTCAGCAAACATGAAGCCACGCCAGGTGGCGCAGGCGCAGGCGCCGCTGCAGCTTCCCTCTTTCGCCGAGTTACAACAAGCAATCCACATGGAGAGCTAGTTGAATGGGCGCAGCGGGTCGGCTGCCAGGCCTGGGCTCACACCGTGAGGTGCTGTCGCAGCAGCTGCTTGGCCAGCAGGTCGGCGCCCGACTGGCGGTAGATGAGCGACAGGTTGAGGGCGGCCTCGCGCCGCAGGTCGTAGGCGGGGCCTGCGTGGCAAGGGAGGGGGAGCGGCGGCATTGGCAGGTGTGGGTGGGCAGGGCGAAATCTGGGGCCGCTGGAAGGAAGCCCAAGTGCGCCAGCGCCAGCCCCAGTCCCGGGCCCAGGCCCGGCAGCCCACCTGCCCCCGCTGCCACGGCGGGTGGCGCCGCCTCCAGCACGCGCTCGTAGTAGGGCACAGCAATGTGCAGGAGGCCCAGATGGTGGGCAGCGCGGCCGGTGTTGTAGGCTGCCTCCTGGGGGTTGCGCCTGCGCGCACGAGATGGATGGAGCAGCGGGGGCCCGGGGCGCGAGCGTGATGCGTGGGACTGTGCGCGTGGCGCGGCATTCCAGGCATTCAAGCTTGCAAAGGCAATCGGCAGCCAGTGTGAACATACTGTCGCACACATCCCGCCCCCTTCCCCGCCCCCAGCCCGCCCCTCCCTGCCCTGCACACCACCGCCCGCAGCCACCCAGCCGCAGCCACCCACCGCGCGTCTCCGTACTCCTGCAGGAAGGCAAAGGCCTGCAGCACTGCACGGTGGCGGTCCGGCACGCGCTTGGTGGCGGCCTGGTTGACGAGCGCGGCGGCGATGCACAGCAGCACCAGCGGCTCGCTGTGGCCCACCCTGCACGCCAGTCACGGGGGCGGGGGGAGGGTCCAGGGTGGGGCGTCGGGCACGGCAGCGGGCGCGGGTCCGGCGGGCAGGCAGGCAGAGAGGATGCTGGGCCGGGGGCGCGCCGGCGTCCAGCACGCGCAGCCATCACGACACATCCGCCATCCGTCAACACACTATAAGGCTATAGCACCAAAACACACACACACACACACACCACAGGCGCCCACCTGTAAGCGTGGAAGTACTCGCAAAGCGCCTCTGCGTACTGCGTGTTGAGCAGGTGGCAGTGGCCCAGCATGAGCATGAGCGGGAGGCAGGTGGGGTGGCGCTGGCGCATGGGCGACAGGAACTTGACCGCCGCACGCACGCCGCCCGTCTCAGCCAGGTACCTGCAGGTTGTATGGGTGTGGCGTGTGTGTGTGCATGTTGGGGTTGCGGGCCCTGAACGCGCTGTGTGTGTGTGTGTGTGTGTGTGTGTGGCGGTTGCGGGGCCCGCACGCAGGCAGGCTGCTTGCCCTGGATGGCTCCACACACCGCCCCCCACCCTCACCCTCACCCTCACCACCGACTCAGCAGCAGGCCCCGCCACCTCCCGCGCGCTCCGCCGCGGCCCCCCACCTGGCGAACCCGTTCCACAGGAGCGGGGAGTAGGGCCAGCGCGAGGCCACGGGCGCAGGCTCTGCAGGTAC